TTCTTATTGGCATACAGGCAGCAAAGCACACAACATGCCTGAAACGTGTCGATTATGTTGTCCGACATCCGTTTTCTGACGTACTTCATTAAACAAGGCGATAGATGCAGTTGAGACAGTTACCTTGTTGGTCGGGGTCTGCGTTACGGGACACGATGGCGCTGATGGCAGGGAAGGTGATGCTGGACATGGCTGCGACAGCTCCAGCCGCCCACATCATCCTGCAACCGACAACACACACTTGTTAAGGATACAAATAGAAATAAATGCTATTTAAGCTTTTAAAAACTGGATCCGTACATGTACTTGAATGAGAGTTAAAGGTTAAGACTAAAACCTCTAAACAAACTGCAGCTATAAAAACAAGCAGTGACACAAACGTAGCCCAAAATGTCAAAGCTATTTTTAGATACAGCTTTACACACTAGTCCATTTCTTAAAAAAAAAAAAAAAAGCATGTTAATGTTTTCCGTTGTTGTAATGTTTTTGCACCATGGCATCATGAAATGGACAATGTGACAGCCCGTTCCTGAGATCTGTTTATCAAAGTTAAGGTTAGTCTAAATTTCAGTTTTAAATTTATGGATATTTATTTATTTATACTGCTATTAAAAGCAATCATGAAATCATTGTGTGAGCTGTGGCCTGTTCATCAAGAAGAAATCATGTTCACAGTTCAAACCAGTGTTGTGCCAGTTCCAGTAGTGAGTACTGTACTTATGTACTTTTAAAGTATTTCCATTTCCTGCTACTTCATACTTCTACAGAGGATGACTTTCAGAACAGCCCTGCACTGACACACGTCCACAAACGCATTGTTTTCTGAAATAATAGATGTATTGTTATTTTTACAAACAAAAACATTTTTTTTAAAAAACCTGTACTATTACAGGGGAAGCACTGAGACGTAATAGACAGTTTGTTGTTTGGTGAACATGAAAAAGACGCTAATCTCAATATGTAATGCCAATTTTATTATTTTGTTAGGCTTTTTGCTTTTATTAGACAGGACCAGCTGAAGGTTGACAGGCAGCAAAGGGACACAGGTGGGACTCGAACCCGCGGCCGCTGTAGCAAGGACTCCGTCTGGTACATGGGGTAGCAGCTCTACCAGGTGAGCTACAGGGCTCCCCGATAATGAGGCCGACTTGACCTTTATTTAACTTCATTTACTGGGTATTGACCAAAGCAGCGAGCAGCAACACGGAGACATGTTGTGAATGTTTTCTTTCAATCAATAGATATTATGCTCGGCCTACCTTCCCCCTCCAGGACAAAACAACAAGAGAAACTGGTTATGATCTCACTTCAAGAGAAATTAAAGTGACAGTGTGACCTGTGTATATGGGGGTGGTTGTTTACACCTTTCTTCAAATGTACAGGTGCAAAGTGAATGAACACAAGTTGTATTTCTGCCTTTTTGCTTTGAAAAATCATGTTTTGAAAAGCACTTAATCTCAAACAGTGATTTTCAAGACAGTAAAACATCTTTGTATATGTTCTAAAAGCTCTGAAGAAATCATTTTAGCATTTAAAATTAGACAAACAAATTCTAATTACAATATATTGATGCCTTTGAGGAGTTTTAGTCATCAGATTACAGTGTCACAGCCCATCTGGTGACAGTGCTATAGAATAAGACTCTACTTCCCTCTGGTGGTTTGTCAACGCATTACAACAACAAGAAATTCTAAAGGTAAAAAAAAGAAAAGAAAAAGACAATAGTGCCTGTATGTGTGTTGTGTTCACTGGGTAAAGAGCTTAGGGTAGTAACAGGGTCGGGTATCATTCAGATTTTATTTATTTTGATTGTAGATTTCGGCTATCTGACTGTAATTCAGCTTCTTTGATTATTATTTGAGTTAAGTGAAACAAACTCGTAGACTAAAAGCACATTATGAGCAGATTTGACCTCCAGAAACATTTGTCATAAACGTCTCAGTATTTTGTGATTCATTTGACTTGAAAGGTTAAATGAAGAAGTTAAATTAAACAAGTTTATTTATCTGCCGTTTTACTGTGGTTGAATGAGCCACTTAAGTAATTCAGAAGCACTGAGACTACGACTGCGGTTTTGCACGATGCTGCAGGAAATGATTAGTCATGTTAACCAAACCTGCTTCCTTCCTTCCTTGCTTGCTTGAATTATATGATCATTATATTTGAAGCTGAGCTCATGACAAGTGAAGGTAAGGTGTGGGTATGTGCGTAAGAAACAAGGTGTGGAGGTTACTGACCAGGGCTGAGAGCCAAAGCCGTACCACGCCAGCTGGAGGATCTGGAAGCCGAGGCCAAGCAGGATTGTGTTCTTATTCCCTATAGAACGCATCAGGATCCCCAATACCACCGTCTGCAAAACACACAGCACACAGTTCATAAGATAGCTCTAAGGAGGCAATAAACAATGTGGAAAGGTTTTTACAAATGTTCATATCTCTCTTAAACTTTGACTCTGACATAGATCTGAAACAATTTGTTGATTAATCAACAGACAAACAAATGTATTAATATTTAAAACAAATGTAATTGTTTCACTAGTCCCACTCCCTCTAATGTTAAGAATTGATACTTTTCTGTCCTCTGATAGTTAAACTAAATAACTTTGGGTTGTGGGCAGTTTTTTGGCCAAAAGAAGAAATGTGAAGACCCTATTGTTACTTTTATCGACTCTACTAACAAATGTAATTGTATGTTTGTGCATCCTGGAAGAAGGATCAATGAAGTTTCTTTCTTTTGTCCCTTTAGTTTTTTTTTCTTCCCCTTATCCAAACTGTGGATCTAAGGATCAGAGGGTGTAGCATGTTGTACAGCTTGTAGAGCACTTTGATGCAAATTTGTGATTTTGGCATGTACAAATGAAATTTGACTTGAAGTTCAAGTTGCCAACTTCTGGGAAAGGCATTTCTCAGAGAGGATGGCTCAGTATTGCATGTAATTCAACAGCAAAGGGGTATTTCTTCAGTACCTGAGCTAGTATTGAGAGGATCCCCACCACAGCAATAAAGGCAGCAACTGTCTCTGATGTGAAGCCTATGACCTGAGGGTGAGAGAGAGATAACACAGGTCAGGACACGACAAGCAGTCAGAGACAAACCCGTATCTCAAACAAAAAGCCTTCACCCATTTTTAAACCAAGCACAAAAGAAGAAGGGGGTTTGTTTGTGACCTTTTGTAAACACATACCGTTTACTACTACACCTTAAAACAACGAAAAGTGCTTATCTTTTAACTCCTCTTGTTTTCTCTGGTGTATTTGGGTCAAATATGCAGCATCAGGAGTAGAGCAGCTGGTGCAAGGCGTGTATAATTTATGACAATAAACGTGAAGAGACGTATGATAAAGTAACTTCTGCATAAAAGGAGAGAGGAAGGCGTGTAGAGTAATGTGAGCCCCGACTCTCCAGACCTACTTTGCTGTCTTTTTTAGGCTGGTCGCATAAAGGTATGAGACTGTGTGTGAGTGCCAGACTCGCCCGACTTGTTCATCTGACACTGTTTACACAAACTAAACAATCTTCATTTGCCTCCTTAAGTAGTTTGAGAAAGGAGATTACGCCTCGTCATTTTATGCCGAAGCTGCCAGCTGCTTCCAGATGTTACTGTGCCAGTGCATAAGAGCTGAAGCTGTCCATTTCTGTTTACTAAATACGTTAGGTTTCCTGCGTTAGCACTTTGCAGAGACATTCTGAAATAGGCCGCTCAGCAAACCTGCTGATCTTAAAGCAATGTAGGTGAAAGTGTGTGTTGGGCAAATTTTCTCCCAGTTGTACTGAGATTATTCCCTGAGCTTTCCAGTAGTAATTCCAGCCTTTAATTAGGAACACAAAGTATGATGCTGTTAGTGGCTGAAGGACAAAATGACCCTTAATATGGGATTATGAAAAAATGTATGTGGATAACAATGATAAAGTTTGATAAAAGCTGCAGACTTGCTGGCTGTTGTCCCGTTTATTTCTGCTGTGTGATCCACAGCGAATGAAAAATGATCATTTTTCTTTTTACAGCCAGTCAGTCTGCAGTTTTTGGCTTGCAAGTCAAAGTACATGCCCATTTCTAAATACAAAGAATTGTTTGAGCAACCGGTGAAGAAAGTGGATGTTCCTCTGGGGGAAAGAAAACGAGTGGAACAGAGGGGCACAAAACCAACTTTTTCTTCCTTTCTGCGCCTGCGGTTTGCACGAGGGCGGGCCTGAGTTCTTTATCTTCAGAGCAGAGCCCAAAGTGGAGGGAACGAAACAGACTCAAGGATCTATTTTATTGGAGTCAACATCGACAACGCTCATTATGCTGAAGTGCAACAAAGGGGAGGCAGTATGATCAATTTATCAAACAACTGTTGAACAAGCAGAACATAAACGTGGGCCGCTGTGCTCACAGTAACTTGCTGCCCGGTCTCAAAACACACCCGTTTTTATTTTTTACAGCCATATGGAGCTCGTTATAAGCGTTTTATTAAGGCAGATAAAGCATGTTTGCAAAGTTAAAGGTTAATATTTACATGTAATATATTCTAAACCTACTGTAACTGTAACTACTGTGCCCTCTGGTTTCTTCAGCCTTTATCAGGATACTCTTCAAAATGGCAGCATTATTATAGATACTGTGGCAAACATCGATTTAATAAATATAATTACTGTGATAATATTTGTTCCACATTGCAGAGCCCTAGAGACCGTCACACACAACATTAGAGATCGGACGATATACAATATTACCACATTACATTTCGTCCCATGCCTACACAACATACCGAAATGTATACAGAACTGTATTGTCCTTATTAACAAACCACAACTTCACGTAAAAAAACTTATATACTAATATTAAGATTTTTTTAAATACCTATTAGACTCTACAAACATTTGTCTAACACCACAGAGCTGCTGCTGTGTTGACTGAATTACAGTTCACAATAGAATCCTTAAACAACAATTAGACTTGACATATTTGGATGAGTAAGTGCTATTACATGTGTAACTTAGTGTACATGACGCGCCTGAATGTCATTTGTGTGTTTAATACAGTCATTAGTCAGTCAGAGTGTTACCTGTTTGAGATAGAGGAAGAAACTGGAGTACTGGCCGGCCTCGGGGAGGTAGGAGAGAAACACTGTGATGCAGATGAGGAGCACTGTGGAGTCCTGGCCCACCTTACGCAGAGACTGGCCAAGAGAACAGCAAGAAACGATTTAAGTTGTTGCGAAGCTAAATATTTTAAAACATGTGCAAAGTCAGCGACATTTTATACATGTTGACTCACCAGTATCTGACAGTTTAATAAGTTTTAAGTAATAAAAGACGCTGCTGCTGCCCAACGTCCTGCTATGATCACAATGAATATTTTCCTGCTGATGAGGTTGTGTAGGAAAGTTTTAATCTGCATATATTCTATATTTATGTCTATATAACTGTCTTTGAGTCCGCCTTAAAACACAACATTCACATGCCCATGTGTACAGTGGAACAGGTTTAGTTGCTTCCTGTAAACCTTCCTCGTCCATACTATACCATACTGAGAGAGACGAGGAACAAAAGCCACAGTCCTCTTTCTGTGAATGATTACAAAGTTTATCTGAAGTTAATGAGAGCAGTCAATCATGTTAGTATCTTTCACTTTCTCTGGATGGTGTTACTGTGCTGAGCTGCCATGGAAGGACAGTAGCAAGAAGAGGGAACTGTGTCCTAAAAAGGCTGCAACTGGATTTATCACAATCAGACTGCTGACTATTATCTTAAGATAAAGTTTGGTATATATTTTAAAACATAATAAAGACCAGATTTTCCCCTCCATCACTTACATTGGAAGCAAATTATGAAGGCATCTTTTAATTATCAATATGAATAAGAAGTATTCAGTGTACAGACTGTATGGGCACCTGACTGTAGTTTTAAAACTGAACGTATCACACCCCGACTATCTGGGTTGGAACAAACCCATGTCTAAGCCTTAGGAGGGCCAACACGCTACTATCAGGGAAGCTGGGTGTGGTCAGACGTGAAGGGCTTGAGAGGGCTGCAGATCACTGCTTCACAGCCTGGTGATAAGTTGCTTTTTTCATGTAAATCTAATTTTCCTGCCAAATACGCAAATGTGGACAGCGAGGAGGACCACAATCTGAACAGACAGACACACAAATGCTACCATAACAAACATTACTAAAGATAAACTACAGTTTTCCTTATAACGAACCAAGTCATCCCTATTGGTACAGCATTACTCACTTATAAAAAACTATTATACATTCATAATAAGGGATTCTGGTTATGCATCATCGTGTTGCTATGCAAGAATTAACGACAATGAAAGAAATATGTTGTAAGAATGTGACTGCAACCTTCCCTTACACACAGCAAGAGGCTCTTTGCTTTGACGGAAACACTTTCACTTATAAAGATCCATTTTACTATGAAGTAAAAGCTTCAACTAGATAGCCTAACCTTTAACGCTTATCTAGACAAGCATGTTTTTATTCAAATAAAAAAAAGCAGATAAACACACACTGCACTCACCTGCTGGTTGGTTGGAAAAAACACTGACTAACTGACTGGTAAATATCATTATGTATTATGTTGTTACTCACAGCGAAGGGGTCTGCCTGTTCCCAGGAGATGGGCGCTCCCCACGATGCTGGCCTCATCTTCTCTGGCAATGACTCTGGTACAGCCACCAGGATGAAGCAGATGTCGAGCAGAGCAATGGCTGTGGCCAGGATCACCACCAATGTGTCACCATACGCTACAGATAGGTAGGCGCCGATGGCCGGGCTGGTAACCAGGCTGGCTGCAAACGTAGCGGATACCTGGAGGGAAGGAGAAGCAGAGCAAAACGAGACGTGATTGATCTTTCTTTCAGTTATCTTTTGTGTGTGTGTGAAGCTGAATACAAGAATGATTGTTAACGGATAAACCCTTCATGGATTGCATAATTATTCTGGAGGCGTTTAAAGAAACATTTTAAGAGGATTCTGTCTCGGTGAACTGTCTCCTTACCAAACCGTATGCCGTGCTCCTCTCATGCTCCTGCGTGATGTCCGCCACATAGGCAAAGATCACAGAGAAGGTGACGGCAAAGACGCCGGACATGGAGATGACTGCAAAGTACCACCTGAAAGAAGGAAGGAGTTTAGCTGACTAAAACAGCTACAGGACACTAAACCATTTTACATTTATTGTTGTTAAATAGGACAGTTTATTCTATTTTTGTATTAGACTGCATTATAGTGTACGGTGTTTCAGCCAGCACGGGACAAAACTTCACCTTCTCCCTTAAAACAAGACTGAGATATATATATATATATATATATATGTATATGTATACAGCGGTCTGTGTTTGCACTCACCATGGGCTGATCTTCATCAGTGGAATGGGCGCGCACGTGAAGAAGACCGTAAGCAGCAAGAAGGACTTGCGTCCCCATACGTCTGACAACGCTCCAATCAGGGGAGCACTGAGAAATGATAATAGGCCCTGGGAAGTATGGAGAGACAGAGAGAGTTAGGGGGAGACACAGGGCAGAAAGGGTGGTGGACGGATCAGAAAAGTGCTGTAAATGGATAACTTGAGTGAAGTTACCGCTCATAAATACGAGTGGAAAATTAACACCATTCTGGCACAAAGGCGACCACAATCTTTACAATTATTTCTATTATTTAGTAAGTCTGGTATCGCTGATCTGTTGTAGCTGGCAGGCTGGAAAGAAAAGGGTTTTCCTGCTCTAAATAAAGACATGAAGCCAGAGAAAACAAGACAATAACAAAGCACCTAAGGCCTGCTGGTGTGCGGTCTGGTTTGAAGTGGGGGACATACTGATTGACACATGCTGAAGAGAAGAGCCCGAGCACACAGACAATCTTTAAAACTGTCTCATCTTGCTAATAACAGTCAATTATTAAATCTAAAATACGGTTAATCGTTAATAATGGTTAATTTTTGTCAACATGAAAACATTAGTTTGCATTTATTTCTTTTTTGTCTTGCCAAAACAATCAATCCATTATGTTTGACAGACTGTCATACGGGGTTTATGGTGGATAATAATAGATTTGTCAACTCAATTTAGTTTCAAGGTGATTATTTCTCCAACAGAGAACAACAATGTTTTTTGTCGACATCCAGAACGACAAGAAAATCTAAAATAATTACCAGCGTGTCCTCTGGTGTGACTATCTTTAGACACTTTCTTTCCTTGAATTAAGACCGTCAGTGTGAACCTGCTGTGGTTTCTGGACAGCTTGCAGGTGTTAACATGTCACTGAATAAGTGTCAAGCAGAGCAAGAGCGCACACGTTCAGCAAATCTTCCAAAAGTGAGACAAACTCGCAGCGCTGAAGCAGGATGTTACTTAACAGCAGCTGTAGCACTTAAAAAGCACATTAACATCAGACTGTGTGTCTCAGCGTTATACTGATGTTGTTTAGAACCGAACCTTGTGTTTGTGTTTACTGAGGTCTCACCTTGACACCGTGGATAAGCCCATTCATCAGGAATGTGTGTTGGGGGAATGTCTGGTGTAATACCTGGAGAACAAACACAGATAACACCAGATGAAACCACATTATCCACACAGCCTGCTTCACGTTACAAACAGCGGTTTATGTACTTTCCAAAGTTAAACTTATACTAAGATAGGGAACAGTGCGATGCCACGGGACAGCCAGAAAACGTACCAAGTGAAGGAGGGCTACAATTAAAAAATAAAACCATTAATACAATCATGTTGCACATTTTCCCTGAAATAAAACAGAGTATTGAACACATCAACATTAAAACATATTCTATCTTTTACGTGTGTGTTTTCTGAGACTTTTTACAGGAAAACACCAAGAAAAACAAATCAATGACGAACCAAAACACAGACATGCAGAAAAACAAAATAAAACTAATTTCACATAAAACGTAAAAAGTGTTATGCATCAAATTTAAAACACGACACCAGATAAAAACACTAAAAGTTCAATTGCAATTTCCCAGCTTGGGATCAATAAAGTATATCTATATATCTATCTCTCTCTCTCTCTCTATTATAATAGCTTATACAAACTGTACGTATTTACGAAAATACTTAATGACTCATCTCTCGTCTTTCCATTTCATAAAATGTTTTTCAACCTGTTTTTACTAAATGTACCAGATTCTGAAGACTTTATCTGGTAAGTTGTTCCAAATTGTTGCTCCCACACATTCAAAGGATTACCAGATGTTTGAATTTTGATTATGCCTCATGCACATGCTGCTCTACACCTGTACATAGAAATGTCTGCATTTATACAAATTCATTGCTGGTTTCCAAAGTTGTGGTTTCCAGTTTTTGGTCTGTACCAAGCGTTGTCATGGCTACAGGTCACATTCATGATTATTTGTAGACAGGATGAAAACTACCACCTGTTACAAACCTGTTTCCTTTTGCTCTGTTAGGGTTGAACATTTATTCTTTTAGTGAATACGATTGTGAGACCTGGTTAAAAAAAAAAAAGTTCTGTAATATCGAGGAGCTCAATAATCTCTTTGTTAAATCTCGGTGTCACCACATTTGACTTTCAGTGACATCCGTCTGATGGTTCTTAGATGACAAACTGTTTTTCTGGTGAACTGCTCTGCTATCAAACGTTCATTACAGACTACAAAGTACTCAGAGAGCCTATAACCCGCCGAGGCCTCCACAATCCTTTGATTAACATAATTAAAAGGTAACTTGGTATCGTGCTGTCATTATTAAGTAGTATTTTGCTTTAAGTTTAAGTATAAACAATAAATTAACGATTGTAGAACCGTTTCTATTTTTGCCATGCTTGGTTTACTGCCGCATGTCCCACAAATAAAAAGAACCGCCTTAAAGTATTTCTGGATACAGCCGGACACAGTAATCCTAAAATACTTCACATTGTGGAAATGTAGGTGAAAGAAGTGTTCGCACAGTTAAAATCCAAGAGACGTTCAGTTCAAAGTCCGTAACGCCAGAAAGTACGGTCATTGACACTGGCGTGGGAACATGAAACTTTAATTTAGGACACGTGGAGCTCGACAAAGCCTGAACAACAGGATCTGGTTATAGTTTAGGGGTACGGAGGGAAAGCTCGTGGCATGGCTCTCTTCCTCTGGGAGTCAGTTACCCAACACATACAGCCTGTGAATGCTCAGTGGAGGCTGTTGCTGCTGGATACTAATGAAGCAGTGCGCTCATTGGGAGCAGTGAAGCAGTCCCTCTCATCTTCAGGCGCCCTCTGATTAGTCCAAAATGCAAATCCTGCCTCCGCCCCGGGATCTTGAGGGCAACAAACCCCCAGTAATTAATGCTTAACAGTTACACACACAACCACCTCTTCAAACAAGAGACGGCTGAAAAGCAGGCATTGCATAAGCCTGTCTGGTTTACATCATGTGGCTCACAGATGTTTGCTCATCATTTGTTTGGGATACGAGTTTCTACCCAAAGTAATTTACGTAGGTAGAGAAAACAGACAGGAACTGAATGAATACAGAAAGAAAAAAAAAAGGAAAACTATTAATACATGCTGGTATGAAATGAAGCACATCATCATTATGAGTCATCTTAGCACTTTGCTTACAAATTAGATTTTTTTTGAGAGAGACAAAATGATCATCTGTGTTTTTTTTTTTAAATTATTAACCGGTTCATTTCTGGTGAATTTTTCAAACACACAGGTTGTCTTCTGGATCTAAAACCTACTAAAGTTGCCGGTAGCAGACCACCTCACCGCGGTGCACCGAGGCGTCTGAGCTGCGGCCTGACAACACAAACCAGTAACCCCCCCGATAAGCCTTTCCAACAAAGAACTGGTGCTCAGACAATACAACTGTTTGATGCCCTTTTCATATTTCTCAGTCCATTAGCGCTTGGCAAAAACATCTGCCAACACATGCACACACAAAAACAAAAGTACGTCACACAGGGCCTCGCTCATTTGATTAGGAATTCAATCATTTATGGACACTGATGGGCCTTGTGTGATTCCAGTCAATGGGAAAAGGCCACTCGTTGGCTACATTTCCACAAAACAGGTGTAGGCGTATGAATACATTACAAACTGTTTACAAAACGGTGCATTTATATACATGTGTGTGTGTGTGTGTAGATCCTGGCTTACCGTGAGCATCGGGGTGGTAAGGAGACCCCATGCAAAAAACTCCAGGAAGATGACCACCACGGCGTGGTAAACACTGGGCTCACCGATCCCCTGAGGCTGCAGGGAGACGCAGAGAAACACATACAAACAGAGAGGTGGTCAGCGCACAGCCCACAAACATTTGAGCGTGTATCAAAGTGTTAAAGGTAACACGTTAACAGATCCAATCATATTAGAAGTTCTGTGACTTGTCCTTTTTTACTTTAAGTGAAATTTAAATGTATATGTATATATAATTGTGATAGGATTCATTAGTTTGCTTCACACTTTTCATTTTCACCGCGTTACATTTGTTTGGTCTGAACCACACAAACGTCAAGAGAACAACATTTGTAGGCACTACAGTTCTTCATTATAATGCTGTTTGTAAAACATTTTACTTGTATCAAAAAACTGCAGCTCTTGCTATTTGAATATTGCACATTATATACTTCGTTGTTGCTGTAAATAAAAAGATTAAGTCGTGGTAAATTCCTTAAACTGAGTTTACAAGTTGCCTGCTAAAATGATCCGTGTCCTGCAGACGAACATAAATAATATAATATAATCTGTTGTTGTTTTACACCGTTTTCAAACTATAACTGACTATAAATTTAAAAAAGCTGTTTATTTGCTGCTAAAATGAAGCAGTTTTATTTATTTTTTTTATCCCAAAACAAAACGTGACCAAGCTGCATACACGCCAAGACTAATTTAGAAGCAGGCAAGCAGCGTGGGTCTATTAATCCAGTCGTACTTACGCTAATTACGACATTAATGTGAATGAGACAACACGGTTAAGCTGTTTGTGACATCTGCAGTATTAGTTATATTACCTTACTCTGATAAGAGTCAAGTAAATGACTGTAAATCAAGAGAAGACTCGTTTAATTTCACATTAATCTATCGTACAGTGTCATCCTATTTACTGGCACAAAATTACATGAATTACATTTAAAATCCATCTAAAAAAGTCAAACATTTTAATAATTTAAGGAACCAAACGGTTTAATCTAACAGGTAAAATAACAAAATAATCTGTGCTATAGTTTACTGGGTCACTCTTAATACAGACTCTCTATTTGTAAGGAGTAAAACACAAACAGACGTCCTTTTAAAGCAATAAAACCCAGCCTCCGGAGAATAAGTCACCACACTACAGCACAGTAAAACCTACACAAGTCTGCAAGGTGAAGAGAAAGTGTGACAGAGTGAACACGGAAACACGGCGAGGACGGATAATTGTGGAGACCGTAAAAGAGGCCAAGACCAACTTAAAGACACTCGCTGCTCGTTGTCTCGCTCCTGTGGTTTCTCAACACCAGTATAAAGGTCCGGGTTCAAGAAGCAATTCAGAGGAAACTCCCACCGCTTTTTGTTCCACGACGAGTCCACGATCACGCCAGAAAAATGAGGAACAATCTGTAACGGCCTCGTAGGATGGACGTTACAACTTCCCGTCTGTTGAAACGATGTCCATCTATGGCTCACGTTTTGTTATTGACTAATCTAAGTGTATTAGATGATATGGCTGAATGCGGGAAGTGAAATCTTAATGGCTGAGTGGTCAGACAGTGAGGAAATAACAACAAACTGAGGACCCCGTTGGTATTTATCTGTACGTACTGGAGGGGAAACATGTTTCTACTTCTCTTCACTGTGAATACAACTGTGTGTGTCTTCATATGGATATCCAACTGATTACATAACCAGCACTGATGCCTCGCTGTATTAATAACAAACCTACCGTACTCACTCTTTGCCAGCAGCCTAATTTGGGACAATCATCACTTCCACCAACTTACGTGATGCAAACGACTACCTGAAACGACAGTGAGCATTTGAGGAAGTTTGTTGTGTTTTTTCCCCCCCATTTAAGGGCATCTTATCACATTATAGGAGGGCAGCATCACACCTGGACTACAGGTTGTCGGTGACACACAGAAAGGAGTAAAAGTGTCAGAAACAACAATATCTGGGTGATGTTTTTAACCAATCATTAGCGACAGATTCTGAGCAGCCATCGTGTAATTATAACCCAAGTTACACCGCTGAGTTTAGCTTTAAAAGCAGTGTTTTTTTTTTTTACTTCTCTAGGTGTGTTAACCGTGGATGCTTGTTTACAACCAACGTGAACAAACCCCAGTGTTGAAACGTCCCATTTGTAAACCGCATTATCGACTCAGGCTCACAGGTTACCTTTCTTTGTCTCCTAAACACGTAGCTAGGTGGCACAAACTGCAGCTTAAAGCAAGCGAAACAAACTAACACACGTATATGTTAATTGCAGCAAGGGTACAAATAGATTTAATTAAAAAAAAAAAAAAAACACACATAAATACGAGCGGGCTAACTCATGTTAACCTAGCCCACCCGTCATTTCAACTAGATTTTAACAAACGTGACATCAGCGTTAAACTGGGTGCTGGTTTTAAGTTAGATACGCTTTTATTCGGGGTACCTGGATTTTATTTAGTGAGATATATATAATATATATGTGTTTATAGGGGGAGGAAACGCACAGCTATCGTTACCTGAGCTGACGTGTAAGCGAGCAGCTACGTAGGCCTGCTAACGTGACGCTAGTTCACAGCTAGCCGAGTTAACGGTCAGCGTTAACCGTTGGGACAAACCGTTGGGACAAACCGTCGAAGACACCGAAACCCGCGAACCAAACCTGCTTTTACTGGTTTCATGAGACGAGCAAAACCAACCGGACAACTAACTTCGGTGTTTAGCTCGGTGGGGTTAAAAAAAAAAAAAAAAAGGCTAAGTTGACGAAGATAAATAAATATTTAACTCACACTTCCTCCATCTTTTATTATAATTTTCTTTGCCAGAAGAATGCTGCGGTTCAGCCGCTTTTTCTTCTTTTTCTCCCCCGTCATTGTTAACTTATGTCCATTCTTGGTGTCAGAGGGTCATCGTTGCGCCTGTCGAGAGTTAAATAATCTACCGATTTCGGCTACAAAGC